GACCCAGATCTCTGTGATCAAACAGCAAGTATGGTAGTAGTAATATGGCAGACCCAGATCTCTGGGATTAAACAGCAAGTATGGTAGTAATATGGCAGATCCAGATCTCTGTGATCAAACAGCAAGTATGGTAGTAGTATAGCAGACCCAGATCTCTGTGATCAAACAGCAAGTATGGTAGTAATATGGCAGATCCAGATCTCTGTGATCAAACAGAAAGTATGGTAGTAGTATAGCAGACCCAGATCTCTGGAATCAAACAGCAAGTATGGTAGTAGTAATATGGCAGACCCAGATCTCTGTGATCAAACAGCAAGTATGGTAGTAGTAATATGGCAGACCCAGATCTCTGGGATCAAACAGCAAGTATGGTAGTAGTATCGCAGACCCAGATCTCTGGGATCAAACAGCAAGTATGGTAGTAGTAATATGGCAGATCCAGATCTCTGTGATCAAACAGCAAGTATGGTAGTAGTAATATGGCAGACCCAGATCTCTGGGATTAAACAGCAAGTATGGTAGTAGTAATATGGCAGACCCAGATCTCTGGGATCAAACAGCAAGTATGGTAGTAGTATAGCAGACCCAGATCTCTGTGATCAAACAGCAAGTATGGTAGTAGTAATATGGCAGACCCAGATCTCTGGGATCAAACAGCAAGTATGGTAGTAGTAATATGGCAGACCCAGATCTCTGGGATCAAACAGCAAGTATGGTAGTAGTATAGCAGACCCAGATCTCTGTGATCAAACAGCAAGTATGGTAGTAGTAATATGGCAGACCCAGATCTCTGGGATCAAACAGCAAGTATGGTAGTAGTAATATGGCAGACCCAGATCTCTGTGATTAAACAGCAAGTATGGTAGTAGTAATATGGCAGACCCAGATCTCTGTGATCAAACAGCAAGTATGGTAGTAGTAATATGGCAGACCCAGATCTCTGTGATCAAACAGCAAGTATGGTAGTAGTAATATGGCAGACCCAGATCTCTGGGATCAAACAGCAAGTATGGTAGTAGTAATATGGCAGACCCAGATCTCTGGGATTAAACAGCAAGTATGGTAGTAGTAATATGGCAGACCCAGATCTCTGGGATCAAACAGCAAGTATGGTAGTAATATAGCAGACCCAGATCTCTGTGATCAAACAGCAAGTATGGTAGTAGTATAGCAGACCCAGATCTCTGTGATCAAACAGCAAGTATGGTAGTAATATGGCAGACCCAGATCTCTGTGATCAAACAGCAAGTATGGTAGTAGTAATATGGCAGACCCAGATCTCTGGGATTAAACAGCAAGTATGGTAGTAGTAATATGGCAGACCCAGATCTCTGGGATTAAACAGCAAGTATGGTAGTAGTAATATGGCAGACCCAGATCTCTGGGATCAAACAGCAAGTATGGTAGTAGTATAGCAGACCCAGATCTCTGTGATCAAACAGCAAGTATGGTAGTAGTAATATGGCAGACCCAGATCTCTGGGATCAAACAGCAAGTATGGTAGTAGTAATATGGCAGACCCAGATCTCTGTGATTAAACAGCAAGTATGGTAGTAGTAATATGGCAGACCCAGATCTCTGAGATCAAACAGCAAGTATGGTAGTAGTAATATGGCAGACCCAGATCTCTGTGATCAAACAGCAAGTATGGTAGTAGTAATATGGCAGACCCAGATCTCTGGGATCAAACAGCAAGTATGGTAGTAGTAATATGGCAGACCCAGATCTCTGGGATTAAACAGCAAGTATGGTAGTAGTAATATGGCAGACCCAGATCTCTGGGATCAAACAGCAAGTATGGTAGTAATATAGCAGACCCAGATCTCTGTGATCAAACAGCAAGTATGGTAGTAGTATAGCAGACCCAGATCTCTGTGATCAAACAGCAAGTATGGTAGTAATATGGCAGACCCAGATCTCTGTGATCAAACAGCAAGTATGGTAGTAGTAATATGGCAGACCCAGATCTCTGGGATTAAACAGCAAGTATGGTAGTAGTAATATGGCAGACCCAGATCTCTGGGATTAAACAGCAAGTATGGTAGTAGTAATATGGCAGACCCAGATCTCTGTGATCAAACAGCAAGTATGGTAGTAGTAATATGGCAGACCCAGATCTCTGTGATCAAACAGCAAGTATGGTAGTAGTAATATAGCAGACCCAGATCTCTGGGATTAAACAGCAAGTATGGTAGTAGTAATATGGCAGACCCAGATCTCTGGGATCAAACAGCAAGTATGGTAGTAGTAATATAGCAGACCCAGATCTCTGGGATTAAACAGCAAGTATGGTAGTAATATGGCAGACCCAGATCTCTGTGATCAAACAGCAAGTATGGTAGTAGTAATATGGCAGACCCAGATCTCTGTGATCAAACAGCAAGTATGGTAGTAATAATATGGCAGACCCAGATCTCTGGGATTAAACAGCAAGTATGGTAGTAGTAATATAGCAGACCCAGATCTCTGGGATTAAACAGCAAGTATGGTAGTAGTAATATGGCAGACCCAGATCTCTGGGATCAAACAGCAAGTATGGTAGTAGTAATATAGCAGACCCAGATCTCTGGGATTAAACAGCAAGTATGGTAGTAGTAATATGGCAGACCCAGATCTCTGGGATCAAACAGCAAGTATGGTAGTAGTAATATAGCAGACCCAGATCTCTGGGATTAAACAGCAAGTATGGTAGTAATATGGCAGACCCAGATCTCTGTGATCAAACAGCAAGTATGGTAGTAGTAATATGGCAGACCCAGATCTCTGTGATCAAACAGCAAGTATGGTAGTAATAATATGGCAGACCCAGATCTCTGTGATTAAACAGCAAGTATGGTAGTAGTAATATGGCAGACCCAGATCTCTGGGATTAAACAGCAAGTATGGTAGTAATATGGCAGACCCAGATCTCTGGGATCAAACAGCAAGTATGGTAGTAGTAATATGGCAGACCCAGATCTCTGGGATTAAACAGCAAGTATGGTAGTAGTAATATGGCAGACCCAGATCTCTGTGATCAAACAGCAAGTATGGTAGTAATATGGCAGACCCAGATCTCTGTGATCAAACAGCAAGTATGGTAGTAATAATATGGCAGACCCAGATCTCTGGGATTAAACAGCATGTGTAGTAGTAATATGGCAGATATATTGTCAGTGGTCTAGGGCTCTGGAACTGTACTGGTTGAAAACATATTCTTTCTATATCAGGGGATTGAACCTGTGCTGGTGTGAGTGAGCCAGTGCAGTGCTACTAGCTTAAATGCTGGCTATTGACTCTGTTATGTATTTTTGCTTTACAGCCGAGATCTGAGGGGTGTGTGATAATATAATATCACTTTCAGAAAATAAAAATGGCCACTGGGAGCCAGGTTTCTTTACTTTTGTATGTTCTGGCCAAATGTAAAAAGTTAGAGGACACAATATGTGATGGGTGGGTTTCACGGGAGGGATCCAGTCCCTGATGATGTTCAGCTTGGAACCGGTGGAGTTGTTATTTTTGCATTTGCTTCTGTCATAGTGCAGACAGTGAGGGTGTTCTGGCATAACAAGGCTCCTGTTTTAATGTTTATGCTGTATGTTCTTTATGTTGTATTTTGGCAGTTGTTATCATTTACTAACACCATAAACAGTAACATGCAGAAACACTTGCATATTTTAATAGTAATCTTAAACTGTAAAGTTGCATGTGCCATGTTCATGTGTTAGTTTTAAGAGAGGCAGAGGTGGGAGATACATGGTGGTGTGGGGGGGGGGGGAGAGGGGGAGAAAGACGGACATGCAAAGTGAGGGCGAGAGATTTAAACCAGCTTTATTTCTCCATGGTTTAGAGGTTAGCGAGTTTGGTTAACCATTTGATGATCCACCAGCACTAGGGTTCGTTCCCATGGTATTTGCACAACAGTATAAGAGTTGCACCATAGAAGAGATGGGGGCTGACTGCCTAATATTTCCAAAGACAGTAGTGGTATGTTGTAGCCAGTCTTCGTTGTGGAGATGGTACAGGAATAAAAAAGGAAAAACTTCTAAGAAAAAGGAACACATATTTAGCAGGCCTGTCTTACATTCCGCCCTTCCAGCCACTCATCTTTGATTATAGCTATTGCTGTATTTGATGTATAATGCAGAGAGAAACGAATGCTGTCACCTAGACACACCACATGATCTTCCCCGCTAGTACCAGCACCTGTCTATACACACCACTTTGATCTCCCCTGCTAGTACTAGCACCCGTCTATACACAACACCTTGATCTTCCCCGCTAGTACTAGCACCCGTCTATACACACCACCTTGATCTCCCCCGCTAGTACTAGCACCCGTCTATACACACCACCTTGATCTCCCCCGCTAGTACTAGCACCTGTCTATACACACCACCTTGATCTCCCCCGCTAGTACTAGCACCTGTCTATACACACCACATGATCTTCCCCGCTAGTACTAGCACCCGACCATACACACCACATGATCTCCCCTGCTGGTTCTTAATTTATAACGTACCCCAAACACGAAATCCCCGTGGGAAATCCACAGCTGACCTGACAGTCCATTGTTTCAAGGGCTGGAAGTGTGCTGTTGTGTGGTGCTTTTTTGAGTGTTAATCTAGTGTCTTCTAATGCTAACCCTAAGCCTAAACTTGGCTGTAGAGAAATCGTGAGAAACTACAACCTGAACACCCTAGAATTTATTGGGAATGTCTCCTGTGACGTTGTCGTGACGTCAGGGGTAAGTTATAAATTAAGAACCCCCTGCTAGTACTAGCACCCGTCTATACACATGATCTTCCCCGCTAGTACTAGCACCTGTCTATACACACCACCTTGATCTCCCCTGCTAGTACTAGCACCTGTCTATACACACCACATGATCTTCCCCGCTAGTACTAGCACCCGTCTATACACACCACCTTGATCTCCCCCGCTAGTACTAGCACCCATCTATATCACCACCTTGATGCTAACTTGTGCTAATACTGGCCACAACCTTCTCTTCCTGACAGACGCCCTAGAGGAGGATGTAGAGGAGAGACGAGGTGTGTGCCAATACCACATTTATATTGTCTGTCTTGTAGGCTGGTGTGCTCTTATATTTGCTTGGTTCTTCATCTGCATTTGGTTTTTGGTGTTTGGTTTATTTGCTTGCTGTTGTTGTGATGGTAGTTTTAGTCATCATATTTTTGTGGTGTGTGTGTGGTACTTTGTGGCTTTTGCAGTTAACAAGGAGACACAGTGGTTGTTTTTGATTTTGGTTCTCTGCCTGTTATTTTCAGATAAGAAACCCTCAGGCCTCTATGAAGGTTGTGGTGTAACCCATGTCCTCTTGATCCCATGACCCAATTTTATGTCCTTTTGATCTGTACAGCTTTGTTTCCACTGAAATTCTAACTGGCCAGAGCTGAGATCTTTCTGCTGCACGTCCGCAGCATTTGAGTCTCAGAGAAGAAATGAGTGTATGTTCCCATAGAGTAAGGAGATGTAGTGCTGGAGTGGCTTAGAGTGGAGTGGCTTGGCACGACACTGTGTTCCTGATTTAAGATCTCCATGGAGGCCAGGATTCCACCAAATTAATTAACTAACGGTCTCGTCAAACCCATTTTGGGGGTGAACATGAATAGACCCACTGCCATTCTACAAAGCATGTCGTAAAAGGTGACTAAATAGGGGTGTTTCCTTTGAAGGTGGAGTGCAAGTGCCTGAAAGTCGAGGAGCCAACGGGGGTATACCAGTAAGCCAGATCTGTTTAATGGATGTGCATGTAAAACTAGAAAGTTCTGGAACAAGTACAAAGTCTAGAAGAGTATGAACAAACAGAACTTTCTGCTAGAGTTTAACAGCTAACGCTGAGAAAGAGAGAGAAGGGGTTTGGGGGAGGGGGATCTAGTCTAAAATGGACAGCAGGGAATGTTTATAGAAGCAAAGGTTTCCTGATTGATAATGACCACATTTGTTGAGTGCCATTTTGTGTTTAAACTTATGAGACAATGAGCATAGCCATTAGGTCTCAGGTCCAAGTGTGTAAACTTATGAGACAATGAGCAAAGCCATTAGGTCTCAGGTCCAAGTGTGTAAACTTATGAGACAATGAGCAAAGCCATTAGGTCTCAGGTCCAAGTAGAGGTGCTTTTTTACAACCCTGGTGAGTAATGGTCCCCTTGTCAACCTGGGTACCCTGGAGTCTGTCCCCTTTACTGGTCAGTCTGTGTTGTGAAGAAAGCAAAGTGGTGTGGGTCCCCTTGTCAACCTGGGTACCCTGGAGTCTGTCACCTTACTGGTCAGTCTGTGTTGTGAAGAAAGCAAAGTGGTGTGGGTCCCCTTGTCAACCTGGGTACCCTGGAGTCTGTCACCTTACTGGTCAGTCTGTGTTGTGAAGAAAGCAAAGTGGTGGGCTCAGAAAAATTTGTTAACATAAAGAATACTGCCACACTCAGATTTGAAACAAAAGTCTGGTATTTATATCTGTCAGGCCAAATACAAATAAATAATCCTCTTCATATTCGTCAGACTCAAGACTGACATTGAACTGCACTCGCTGTCTCAACTCGTTGTGTTTTGCTGTAAGCTGTTGTAGTCAAAACCCCATCTTTAACCTCTCACCCCCAAGGAAAGTCATTTTTCTGACTTTTATAGGTTCTGGTTGATATGAAGTCTTTAGACAGTACCCCACCTGTATGACAGCTTTGCTGCTGGCTGTAGCTACATCTGGCTGTAGCTGCATCTGGCTGTAGCTGCATCTGGCTGTAGCTACATCGTGTGTAGACATGCTGGCTATGGTTATATTCACACAAAATATTTTAATGATTTTTTTTGGGCGAATAAAAATAGATTATTGAAAATTTGACGTTGCCGTGTCTTGAAATTTCATAATTGACACATTGATGTCTCCGGCAGAGTATCCAAAACTTCTTTTTCAGTGATCAAAGTGTAGAAATCAGTGATTGGTTGCTCCTTTGTATTTAAGTTCACTTTCCTTACATAGAAATAAACCTTTTTTAGACTGAGGGCATTAAATGATTAGTTCATATCATTTTACGGCGCTGATTCATGTCCTGCTTTGATGCCTTCAGTTATCAATGTCGGTTTTGCATGTCAAGTCATTTGTTGGCTTTCTTTATTTTCATGATCTTTATTAGTTTGTGAACTTTCAGATGGAATTCAATGGGTCCATCATATATGTTGTACATAATGGAGCTGGCATAAAGGTGGCACTAGTGTGGTGGTGGCACTAGTTAGCTCGGTGGATGGCCTTCTTGATAGGTGAAGGTGGCACTAGTGTGGTGGTGGCACTAGTGTGGTGGTGGCACTAGTGTGGTGGTGGCACTAGTTAGCTCTGTGGATGGCCTTCTAGATTGGTAAGGTGGCACTAGTGTGGTGGTGGCACTAGTTAGCTCGGTGGATGGCCTTCTAGATAGGTGAAGGTGGCACTAGTGTGGTGGTGGCACTAGTTAGCTCTGTGAATGGCCTTCTAGATAGGTGAAGGTGGCACTAGCTCGGTGTAGATGAAACAGCTATAACCAGCTATAAACCTCATGATGACACTAACACAGCTCATGTGATATAAGAGAGGTGCTCACCTAATAGTTAAACATCCTAATAATATACCTTGTTTTAAGCCTTGTAAATGTGTCTCCTGTATACCCTCCTTAGTTCCAGGTCATTTGGGTGCAGTGCATATTTGTATTAACTATTGATTTTTCTTCAGTGCTTAGTCATGTGAACCCCATATTTATCTTGTAGATACCTGGTAAATATGCTTGCTGTGAATTTATTTTTATAACTGTATTCCTCCTCTCTTGATAAGTATGGAATAGCAGTTGGCTTTGTTGTATGCAGTGACTGTTTTTATTTATTGTATTTCTGTGTTCAAGACCAATACTTTCTTGCTTTTAGTTAATGGGAAAAAGGGGGGGGGGGGGGTGTAAAAGTTTGGCACCAATAAAAGGGTCAAGCAAGGCACATGTTAACATTCCCCATCTGCAGTGCCACATATCCCCAGTTTTCAGTGTAACATATCCCCAATCTGTAATATATGATATCCCCAATCCTCAGTGCCACATATCCCCAATCCTCAGTGCCACATGTCCCCAATCCTCAGTGCCACATGTCCCCAATCTTCAGTGCCACATGTCCCCAATCTTCAGTGCCACATGTCCCCAACCTTCAGTGCCACATGTCCCCAATCTTCTGTGCCACATGTCCCCAATCTTCAGTGCCACATGTCCCCAATCTTCTGTGCCACATGTCCCCAATATTCTGTGCCACATGTTCCCAATCTTCTGTGCCACATGTCCCCAATATTCTGTGCCACATGTCCCCAATCTTCAGTGCCTCATGTCCCCAATCTTTAGTGCCACATGTCCCCAATCTTTAGTGCCACATGTCCCCAATATTCTGTGCCACATGTCCCCAATATTCTGTGCCACATGTCCCCAATCTTCAGTGCCACATGTCCCCAATCTTCAGTGCCACATGTCCCCAATCTTCTGTGCCACATGTCCCCAATATTCTGTGCCACATGTCCCCAATCTTCAGTGCCACATGTCCCCAATCTTCAGTGCCATATGTTTCCAATCCTGAGTGCCACATGTCCACAATCTTCAGTGCCACATGTCCCCAATCTTCAGTGCCACATGTCCCCAATCTTCAGTGCCACATGTCCCCAACCTTCAGTGTCTCATGTCCTCAATCTTCAGTGCCACATGTCCCCAATCTTCAGTGCCACATGTCCCCAATCTTCAGTGCCACATGTCCCCAACCTTCAGTGTCTCATGTCCACAATCTTCAGTGCCACATGTCCACAATCTTCAGTGCCACATGTCCACAATCTTCAGTGCCACATGTCCACAATCTTTAGTGCCACATGTCCCCAATCTTCAGTGCCACATGTCCACAATCTTCAGTGCCACATGTCCACAATCTTCAGTGCCACATGTCCCCAACCTTCAGTGCCACATGTCCCCAATCTTCAGTGCCTCATGTCCCCAACCTTCAGTGCCACATGTCCCCAACCTTCAGTGCCTCATGTCCCCAACCTTCAGTGCCACATGTCCCCAACCTTCAGTGCCACATGTCCACAATCTTCAGTGCCACATGTCCACAATCTTCAGTGCCACATGTCCCCAGTCTTCAGTGCCACATGTCCCCAATATTCAGTGCCACATGTCCCCAAGTCCCCAATCTTCAGTGCCATATGTTCCCAATCCTCAGTGCCACATGTCCCCAATCTTCAGTGCCTCATGTCCCCAATCTTCAGTGCCACATGTCTTTAACCTTCAGTGCCACATGTCCCCAATCTTCAGTGCCACATGTCCCCAATCTTCAGTGCCTCATGTCCCCAATCTTCAGTGCCACATGTCCCCAATCTTCAGTGCCACATGTCCCCAACCTTCAGTGCCACATGTCCCCAATCTTCAGTGCCACATGTCCCCAATCTTCAGTGCCTCATGTCCCCAATCTTCAGTGCCACATGTCCCCAATCTTCAGTGCCTCATGTCCCCAATCTTCAGTGCCACATGTCCCCAATCTTCAGTGCCTCATGTCCCCAATCTTCAGTGCCACATGTCCCCAATCTTCAGTGCCTCATGTCCCCAATCTTCAGTGCCTCATGTCCCCAATCTTCAGTGCCACATGTCCCCAATATTCTGTGCCACATGTCCCCAATCTTCAGTGCCAGCTAGCAATACAGGTTTCCAATAACTGTTGCTCATGTGCTTTTTTTAAAAATGTATTTTGTCCACTAACCTGCAACTGGATGCCTATAATGTTTCTCCATGTTTTCACCTGATGACAGCTATGCCTCCATTTGTTTTTAGTAACGCCAGGTCTGTGCATGTGTTGTAGGTAAACATATTGTCATATATTGATGGCACTCTTAGATAGAAGTGGAGAGAAAGTATGATACACAGGAGAACAACAGACAAATAAAATGCTTTAGTTATACTATAAGTGCCAATCTGGACACACTAGACCAGTGGTCTTCAACCTGTGGGCCACGGCCCACTGCCAGGCCGCAGAGAAGTCCACCAACAAATTCTGCTTAATCATGTTACAAGATTTGGTAGGTGGTAAACTCTTCTATAGAGTCTATAGAATGTACAGCTCAAGGACAACATCCTATCTGCATGAAAAGATTGTCTCATGCATGCCAGTTATAAAAACCAAGTTGAGAAATCGAATGTGTGTTAGTGTGATGCTTAGTCTATCATAAACAACGCTCCCGCCACATATCTCAGATTATGTAACCTCTAAGCAGCAGCAGATGAGGGATTCGCCGAAGTGTAATTTGGTGACATTAGATTTGATAACTGAACTACTCTTTACATCTTTTTTTAAAATGTTTGGTTAGCTGTCAGGTGGGCTGCGAAACAATTGACCCACTTTTGGTGGGCTGCGAAACAATTGACCCATTTTTGGTGGGCTGCGAAACAATTGACCCACTTTTGGTGGGCTGTAGTTGAAGAACACTGTGTTAAGCGCATAACAATGGACAGCTGTATCTACAAGACTGTGGGAAGGAAGCAGATATACTCGGCATCTGCCTCAAGTGCTGGAGGTCCTGTATTCAAACCCTGGTGAAGGCTGTGATTTTTTCCCATGGATTTCTAGTAATTTCCCCTGGTCTCTGGGTAGTAAGACCGGACACCCATGTGTATTGTTGTGCATGAAAAAAATCCCTTGGCTGTTGAAAATCGAAAAGAGTAGCCTAACAGCGCCGCCTAGGCAAAAGTTGGAGTTAAAAAGCTACCCACAAAGTATTTCAGGGTCCTCGCCAGTGCAGTGGTGTTTGTGCACTGCGCTGAGATTCCTTAGACTCAGGTTCAAGTTAGAAGTAGAACTGAGCACTTATGGGTTTACACCAGTATGCCGTGATGTTGATCCGTCAAGGATTTCAACCGGGAACCAGTGTTTCTGCTGCTGCCTCTCACGGAAGTGATGAATAAAAGTTATGGGAGCTGCAGACTTTGAGCAGCGGCTATGCGTTAGTTCTCTCCACCATTGAATATGCAGGGCACTCAGCACCGCACAGATGAACAGACTGGAAACAATTGAAAACAAGAGGCAATGCGTATTATTCTTGGATACACTAGAGATCGGCGTCTGTGGCTTAGGCATTCCTGGGGTGCAGGGTTTGATCCCGACTGCTGGCCCTGCATTGGTTTCGGCAGTGGTAAACTACTGGATGTAAACTTGCCTAGAAAAACCACTACAGCCAGAAAGATACTGGGGTTGGTTCTGCAACGTACTGTAAAGGATACACAACTTATGAACACCAGAGATACCTCATGTAAATCCATGAGATACTTCTTGGATTACTCCACAATGGAAAAACAGAATCAAGCTGTCCAGGGCTGCTGCTTTTCTCAGAGTGTAGTCAGACCCTTGTCACCCACTTCATAAGGAATTATTCAAGCAAAAGAAGAATAGGCTTTAACCAGACAAATCCTGGATGGGTCGGGCTGAGGACGCCATCGTACATGTTTGCTGCCTTACTGACATTCATTTTGGAATGTAATGGATACCCATGCTTCAGACATTAACATTACAGGCCACATCACACTTGATGGAAGCTGTAGAAAGCAGATTGCTGGCATAGTGGACACTTTAGTCAGAACACTGATTGACCAAAACACAGGTGAAGGTGATGCTGTAGTTTACACAGATGGATCAGTAATTAGGGGGCAAGCCAAGTGCATGGGCATTTACAGTAAACTCAAGGGGGGAAACCATCAGGGAGATGACTGGCGCTTTTGCTGTTACAGCCAGCAGCCTTACAGTGGAAACTGTGACTGTAACAAGAGCATTAGCATGGCCTGGTACTTAACAGTTGACTCAAGTGTGCATACTTGGTGACTCAATGAATATGCTTAAAAAATATCCAAGCTGGTTTTATCAGGCAAGAATGGATTGTACCACTAAGCACTTCTTGAATCGCTGCCCTAACCTTCATCTTTGTGCCAGGTAATGCAGGTGTTCAAGGGAACGAGCGTGCAGATTATCTCGCTGACACTGCCGTTGCGATGGCTGGTTCAGTACTTGACAGAAGTGATGTTATCAGTGTCATGCGCAGAGCTTACTGTGACGACGTGCACACCAAAGGGCATGACTCCGTATCCATGTCGAGGCTGATGGACATGGGGGGGGGGGGGGGGGGGGGGGTGCAGCTTGGAGCTGTGAGTATAAATCTTTCACTAAGGGGACAAGATGTTTCATTAGCGTACACAGAACAGGCGTCATCAGTCGTTTTATGCTTGTAGAGCTTTTGAGGAGGTGATCCCTCCTGTGTGCTATGATGCTTATCCTTGCTAATCACAGAAGTAGTGAGTAGTGTTTGAACACAGATTCTTCTAGCGTCTACTTCTAGCGTTGAAGTTGTCCGCAAGGCTTTATATTACTGGGATGTACATTGTGTCAGATGCTGATCTGTCCACCTCAAGGTCCTGGGTTCAAATCCACATCAAGACGGATTATTGTTATAACTGATCTTTTCTTTTAGGAGTCGCCATGGTGAAGTGGCTTGGCACTTACCACTGGATCCAAAAGTCAAGGGTTCAAATCCGAATGAAGCTTGAATTAAAAAAAAAATATTTTTTTTACTCCCAGGTTGATCGAGCCTTAAATTGGTATCTGGCGAAATGCTAGGAAGTAAAGGCAGCCACATGATGACATCACCCACAGAGTGCTGGCTGATCAGACTGAAAATATAGCTCTAGCACTGTATGTGTAGTACAACTAAAGGTATGGACAAGAGTCCTCGACTTTTACTTCCAGGCTGACCCAGCCTAAAATTGGTACCAGGAAATGTCTCAGCACGTAAAGGAAACTGGTCTGGAGGTGACCATATATCATTCATTTGTCTGTGAAAATATGGATCAAGCCTCGCATTCATTATTGGTGAAAAAAAAAAGTCTTTTACTTGTATATTTAATTTTTCACAAACTAAGCCGATCGTAATATCTATAATTGGCTAATTTGTTGTCTTGTTTTCAATCAGAAATAGATGAAGGTTCACCGCCCCGAGAGGACGGGGATAAATCTGAGGTGACTAAAGCGGTGCTGGTGCAGATTCCTGAGCCTGCCAAAACAGAGGAGAACGGCACAGACAGCACCAGCAACGGCATCAGCTGCAACAACAACAACCACGGTGGGCGTGGGATGGAGGAGATCCCAGAGAAGCTGCGGCATCAGTTGAAGCACCGAGAGCTGTTTCTCTCTCGACAAGTAGAGACCCTCCCTGCCACCCACATCCGAGGGAAGTGCTGTGTTACCTTGCTCAATGAAACTGAATCTCTCTTGTCTTATCTCGGCAAAGAGGTAATGTTTGTGTATAATCATTTTTATGCTCACTTCTTCATTCTGCCTTTTTTTTTTTTTTTTTTTTTTTAAGTTATTGATTTTACTCTGTCTCACATTATATGTTTGTTTCCGCCTTACAACACTTCATTAAGCTCTTATTGGCTTTCTGCTCCACCTTTTTTTTTCTTTCTTCTTTTCTTCTTCTTTAGCTCCATTTGGCTTAAAAGATTGGTTAGCACATTATTCTGTTATGGTTTACAGCTAGTCTGCGATATCTGCGCCTTTTAGCCCTACACATCTAATTTCAACAAATTAGTCACCTGGAACTTCTGTGAACAGTCTTGTCAGAGGACAATGTTCACGCACGCACACACACACACACAGCCCATTCTCAGTGTGGAAGGCAATGAGAGAAGAGATGCCCTGGCTGGCAGTGCCACTATCAGGAATGGGCAGTCTTTGGACAGGAGAGACATCATCAGTGCCACACTACGGAGTCAACTCTGTGAGGCTTTCAGATGACTCTTCACCAAATAGACTTCGTACCCTGGATGTGCCAGTTGGAGCAGCGAGACAGGAAAGCCATGAGGGAGTTACCCGTTGTTACATCAGCCAGAACAGAATGGGAGCTGTTGGCCTAAACCACATGGAGATATACTCAGGAGGGGATCGGAGCAATGATGGTCATGCATGGTGAAGATAATCTTTCAGTAAACAATGCTGAAACACGTCTATGTTCTCTCTCCCCCCCCCCCCCCCCCATTTATTGTACCATTATTATTAGAGCACATGTAGGAAGTACAAGGAATTAACATTGTTTTCTGTCGTCTTTTTGCAGGACACATTTTTCTACTCGTTAGTCTACGACCCGCAGCAGAAAACCTTACTTGCTGACAAGGGAGAGATTCGAATAGGTCCCAAGTATCAGGCAGAGATGATACCGAAGGTCTTATTAATTGGTATGTATGTACAGTTAGGTCTCAGTGAGTAGGTCTTTCATTCTTTCTTCAGCTGTCTTTTTATCAGTTACATAATGCAGTGGAAATGCTATGGTGCTTCTACCCTAGGATGTTGAGGGAAATAAGACATTGTATTTTTTACTCCTACCCTAGGTTGTGTCGGCATCTGTGGCTTAGGCGTTGCGAACGCGCTTCGTAATGCCGGGGTGCTGGGTTCGATCCCTGCTGCGGACGGCTTGTCTTACCATGGTTTCGACAGTGGTACTGAAAGCCGACCATCCGAAAAGCATTGGCAAACTACTGGACGTAAATTTGCCTTTAAAAAAAACATCATCCAGAAAGTGCTGGGGTTGGTTCTGCAACGTCCTGTAAAGGATACACAACTAATAAAGAAAAAAAATAGGTTGTAGAGGGATATAAGACCTTGTATTTTATACTCCTACCCTAGGATGTAGAGGGAAAAGACCTTGTAATCTTGTACTTCTACCCTAGGATGTAGAGGAAAATAAGACCTTATAGTCTTGTACTTCTACCCTAGGATGTAGAGGGAAATAAGACCTTGTAGTCTTGTACTTCTATCCTAGGATGTAGAGGGAAAAGACCTTGTAATCTTGTACTTCTACCCTAGGATGTAGAGGGAAAAGACCTTGTAATCTTGCACTTCTACCCTAGGATGTAGAGGGAAAAGACCTTGTAATCTTGCACTTCTACCCTAGGATGTAGAGGGAAAAGACCTTGTAGTCTTGTACTTCTACCCTAGGATGTAGAGGGAAAAGACCTTGTAATCTTGTACTTCTACCCTAGGATGTAGAGGGAAAAGACCTTGTAATCTTGTACTTCTATCCTAGGATGTAGAGGGAAAAGACCTTGTAATCTTGTACTTCTACCCTAGGATACAGAGGGAAAAGACCTTGTAATCTTGTACTTCTACCCTAGGATGTAGAGGGAAAAGACCTTGTAATCTTGTACTTCTACCCTAGTATGCAGAGAGAAAAGACCTTGTACTTCTACTCTAGGATGTAGAGGGAAAAGACCTTGTAATCTTGTACTTCTACCCTAGGATGCAGAGGGAAATAAGACCTTGTAATCTTGTACTTCTACCCTAGGATGCAGAGGGAAATAAGACCTTATAGTCTTGTACTTCTACCCTAGGATTGAGGGAAATAAAAACTTGTTGTCTTGTACTTCTACTCCAGGATGTAGAGGGAAATAAAACCTGCAATAGAGGACAAATTTAAACAATAATTAATTTAAATTGTATGTGTGTATTATGTGATGAATTGTCTCAATCTGACTGTGATTATTTGTTGAAATAGGAATTTGTCTGATGTGTTTGTGAGCTCTGTCATCATAGCACGCCAGGCAGTTCCATAGTTGCTTTGATCTCCTTAATAGCTCCACAAGTGTTAGGCCTGTTCTTTTTGATTAATTAGATGACTTTACCCCTAATTTATGTTAAATGTTCATGTTTGGCTGATTTAGGCTGCACTGCTTTAACCATCAGCCTGGACAGGGATTGTGATTCCTGCTTGTTGTCATAATCATCTTTGTGAATTGATATAGGCTGATGTGTTTGCGGTGATAAAGGCGGATGTGTTTGTTGTAGATTATTTTCCTTTAACTCATTGACAAGTGACCACAAACTAATACATGCTTCTAGCAGTGGCTGTTTCTGCTGCTGCTGCTTCACTTGAAACTTTGTTTTAACTCCTCGTCTCGTGTGATTTCAGATGAAGAGGACACTCGCAGGTTAGAAGATCTGGAAGAACTGGTCTGGGACCCTAACAATGGCCTCACAGACAGAGATATAGACCAGTTCCAAATAATTGCCCGGTAAGTCACCAGTCGTCTTTGTCATCAGTTGTGGTTATTTTTATTGTCATTATATATTAGGGGAAAAGGGGAGAGGGGGTGAGGCGATTGTGCATATGTCTGTTTATAACAGTGCTGCAATATTTAAATGTTTCCATGGATACATCCGTCGTCTTCTGCTTTCTATGTAGAATCATCAGTTTTTAATTTTTGGGAATGGTGAGGCTAGGCAATCGCTGCCTCCGAAAAAAGCTGACAGGCAGTGAATTAATTAAACTAGAAATGGCTGAAGCACACCAGTAACTATATAGGTGCTCAGTCTCACACATATTACTGGATGAGAATCTCAGCACAATGCACAAATTATTTTTCATGAAATGGTATTAGTGAGCAGTATTGTGCTGGCGAGAAAAGACAAGTCTATAAGGATCACTTTTAAACATAAATGTTGACAAAAGCTCTCAAAGGACAAAACAGTTTTGGTACGTTGGCTTTGAGTGGAGATAGTGGCAGAATCTGTATGCTGTAGTTTGTTTGAAACTGTTTACCAGAAACATCACAAACTTCAGAAGTAATAGTTAGAGACACTTGCAGAATGTGTAGACACTTATATGTGAAGCAGCTAGCAGAATCATCTAAGACACTCACAGACTACAGAAGTAATAGTTAGAGACACTGGCAGAATGTGTAGACACTTATGTGTGAAGCAGCGAGCAGAATCATCTAAGACACTCACAAACTACAGAAGTAATAGTTAGAGACACTGCCAGAATGTGTAGACACTTATATGTGAAGCAGCGAGCAGAATCATCTAAGACACTCACAAACTTCAGAAGTAATAGTTAGAGACACTTGCAGAATGTGTAGACACTTATGTGTGAAGCAGCGAGCAGAATCATCTAAGACACTCACAGACTACAGAAGTAATAGTTAGAGACACTGGCAGAATGTGTAGACACTTATGTGTGAAGCAGCTAGCAGAATCATCTAAGACACTCACAGACTACAGAAGTAATAGTTAGAGACACTGGCAGAATGTGTAGACACTTATGTGTGAAGCAGCGAGCAGAATCATCTAAGACACTCACAGACTACAGAAGTAATAGTTAGAGACACTGGCAGAATGTGTAGACACTTATGTGTGAAGCAGCGAGCAGAATCATCTAAGACACTCACAGACTACAGAAGTAATAGTTAGAGACACTGGCAGAATGTGTAGACACTTATATGTGAAGCAGCGAGCAGAATCATCTAAGACACTCACAGACTACAGAAGTAATAGTTAGAGACACTGGCAGAATGTGTAGACACTTATATGTGAAGCAGCGAGCAGAATCACCTAAGACACTCACAGACTAGCGGCTGCCTTCACTTCCCTGGACTTTACCTGGTACCCATTTTAGTCTCGGTCGACCTGGAAGTGAGAATCATTTTTAAAAACAAACTGGCTCTTTGCAGATTTTAACCCACACAGGCAAGCGTCTAGCTGCTATATTTTTGCATTTCGGCAGCTTCCTGGCCATATAGAAGCTTGATTTTTCAACATAAACCTGGGATTTTCCACTTTGATTTCATGATTGTCCAAGTATGGTGAATTAGATGTTAACGTTGGCTGCAGTTGTGCGAGTCTCAAGTCTTAGTTGTAGGTGTGATGATTGTGCCTGTTGTCTTGCAGGTCTGTGGGCACATTTGCTCGTGCACTGGACTGCACCAGCACTGTCCGCCAGCCCAGTCTACACATGAGTGCAGCGGCTGCCTCCAGAGATATTACTATTGTAAGTGACTTTCTTTGTTCTTATTATGCACGGATTAATTCATTTTTGGAGTAAGACTCCATTAGCTATCAGTTCACAAGAAGAAGCCCCATGTGGGTTCTGGGACCCTATTGTGGGGGTCCTGATATTCACAAGAGGAAGCCCCATGTGGGTTCTGGGACCCTATTGTGGGGGGGGGGGGGTGTCCTGATTTTCACAAGAGGAAGCCCCATGTGGGTTCTGGGACCCTATTGTGGGGGGGGGGGGGTGTCCTGATATTCACAAGAGGAAGCCCCATGTGGGTTCTGTGACCCTATTGTGGGGGTCCTGATATTCACAAGAAGAAGCCCCATGTGGGTTCTGGGACCCTATTGTGGGGGTCCTGATATTCACAAGAAGAAGCCCCATGTGGGTTCTGGGACCCTATTGTGGGGGTCCAGATATTCACAAGAAGAAGCCCCATGTGGGTTCTGGGACCCTATTGTGGGGGTCCAGATTTTCACAAGATGAAGCCCCATGTGGGTTCTGGGTTCCTATTGTGTGTGTGTGTGAGGGGAGGGGGGGGGTAGAGCCACTGTCTCTAAATGAGCATGTTGTAAAAGGCAACTAGTGTTTCGCTGTTTGCTGAAGTCTGATGTATTGGGCCAAACTGTGCAAGTATAACAGCCTTGCTGCAAACAACAGCACAGTGTACCTGCTTCTCTTTTAAGGCCGAAGAAGAAGCACAAGGAAGACTATGATGAACGCCATCAAGGGTTGAGTTGAGTCAAGAATTGACATTACAGCTTTCAGGGCTTCCCATAAGTGCTGCGTCCCCATCCTCAGCAGCCAGTGCACGAGTACCAATACTAATAGTGCCGGTGCAGTCTGGTTGTATGTCCGTTGGTCGTAGTCTGGTTGTATGCCTGCTTTGCCTTACCTCTGAACGTAGTGTGCTGGCCGAATCCTCTGGTCATGCCTAGTGCATCATTCTCTCCAGCCATAGTAATCTAGTTTCTTTTCTGACTTTTTTTTACTGATTCCTTAAGGGCCCTGACCACATTGTCATGCATTAATTTGCTACCCAGCGGTGCAGATCCTGCCAATCTGTATGCCTGTCAATTCCCCATCACAACGGCATGGCCTGGAGAAAAAATGTATGCTCACTACCTGTGACCTTGCAAGTCGAATTTGCCACTCTTGTCGAAGCAGCCCTATCTTCAGCTTTTTAACCATGCTTTCAGTGTCCATTACAACTATGACATGTGTATATATCTTGTTCTCTAGCCACTGGCAAGCTGCAGTGACTGCCTCCACCTCCATTTTTATGCTAGATGTTGTGGTAATCACTGTTGTCATCATCTCCATAATCACTGTTGTCATCATCTCCATAATCACTGTTGTCATCATCTCCATAATCACTGTTGTCATCATCTCCATAATCACTGTTGTCATCATCTCCATAATCACTGTTGTCATCATCTCCATAATCACTGTTGTCATGATCTGCCTAATCACTGTTGTCATCGTCTCCATAATCACTGTTGTCATTATCTCCATAATCACTGTTGTCATCATCTCCATAATCACTGTTGTCATGATCTGCCTAATCACTGTTGTCATCATCTCCATAATCACTGTTGTCATCATCTCCATAATCACTGTTGTCATCATCTCCATAATCACTGTTGTCATCATCTCCATAATCACTGTTGTCATGATCTGCCTAATCACTGTTGTCATCATCTCCATAATCACTGTTGTCATCATCTCCATAATCACTGTTGTCATGATCTGCCTAATCACCGTTGTCATCATCTCCATAATCACTGTTGTCATCATCTCCATAATCACTGTTGTCATCATCTCCATGGTCATCATCATCATCATCAGTAAAGAGCGTGTGTGCTTGCTTGTTGCCAGTTCCACGCCATGAACACCCTACACCAGCATGGCTACAACATTGCCAAGGCTATCAAGAGCCTAGTGCCTCCTGGCGGACCTGTCTTATGTCGGGACGAGATGGAGGAGTGGTCAGCTTCCGAGGCCAACTTATTCGAGGAGGCCATTGAGAAATACGGCAAAGATTTCAATGACATTAGACAAGACTTTGTGAGTATATATTCTCTTCATAATCATCGCTAGTTTCTGACATTAGACAAGACTTTGTGAGTATATATTCTCTTCATAATCATCACTGTTTCTAATCCTCATTCCTAAGGTGTTGCTTAACTGTCTGACTACTTTTCATTCTAGTTGTAACTTCCCTTAACTGCAACAGAATGTAGGAACATCACAATAAATTTTATTGCTTTCTTTTCTGTCCTAACGTATAAACGTGCTGTACTTTAGGTTAATGTTTCCACTTGTAAATTGAAGAACCTCAGAGGTTATGTTAATTAATCTGTCGCTGTAGTCAAAGGCAGAGCTATTCAACAGGGGATTGTCATGGGCATCACAAGAGTAGAAATAGAAAGATTATTAAAATAATACAGTTGGCAATGATCCGTGGGCCACTTCCTAAGCCTGTGCAGGGTCGGTGTCGGCCCACAGGCCACCCATTCAATCACCATGGTCTTAGGTGAAGGAACACCTGACTTTAATGTTCTGTGTGTTTGTGCATGTGTTCATTTCTCTCTCTCTTTCTCTCTCTCTCTTTCTCTCTCTCTCTTCCCCCTCTCTCTCTGTCTTCTCTCTCTCTCTCTCTCTCTCTCTCTCTCTCTCTCTCTCTCTCTCTCTCTCTCTCTCTCTCTCTCTCTCTCCCCCCCCTCTCTCTCTCTCTCTCCTAACATACAAGAACACGTGCGCACACACACTTCATACAACATAGAATGTCTGGAATTTCAAATTCATAGCTGTTGAGGCAGCTGACTGGGGATGATTTGGTTCCATAACAGCATAAAATCAGCTCACATGTATTTGTATGTGTTTGACCACATATAAGGCCGGGGACATGTATGTATATGGTTATGTCAACACACAGTTACGTGCAAGAATATGGTTATGTCAACACACATAGTTACGTGCAAGTATATGGTTATGTCAACACACATAGTTACGTGCAAGTATATGGTTATGTCAACACACATAGTTACGTGCAAGTATATGGTTATGTCAACACACATAGTTACGTGCAAGTATATGGTTATGTCAACACACATAGTTACGTGCAAGTATATGGTTATGTCAACACACATAGATACGTGCAAGTATATGGTTATGTCAGTACACACAGATACGTGCATGTATATGGTTATGTCAGTACACACCGATACGTGCATGTAAATGGTTATGTCAGTACACACAGATACGTGCATGTATATGGTTATGTCAGTACACACAGATACGTGCATGTATATGGTTATGTCAGTACACACAGATACGTGCATGTATATGGTTATGTCAGTACACACAGATACGTGCATGTATATGGTTATGTCAGTACACACAGATACGTGCATGTATATGGTTATGTCAGTAAACAGTTACGTGCATGTATATGGTTATGTCAGTACACACAGATATGTGCATGTATATGGTTATGTCAGTACACACAGATACGTGCATGTATATGGTTATATCAGTACACACAGATACTTGCATGTATATGGTTATGTCAGTAAACAGTTACGTGCATGTATATGGTTATGTCAGTACACACAGATATGTGCATGTATATGGTTATATCAGTACACACAGATACGTGCATGTATATGGTTATGTCAGTACACACAGATACGTGCATGTATATGGTTATGTCAGTACACACAGATATGTGCATGTATATGGTTATATCAGTACACACAGATACGTGCATGTATATGGTTGTACCAGAACCTGATGCTGGATAATTTTAATGACATCATATAAAACTAATGTAGCCACTTGCTAATAATAAATAGTGTGCTAAAAAAGGATTACTTTTCCACTTCTTACTGGGAGTTACCTTTGCTTCTTCTACTGTAAGTAAACCTTTGACTAACTATACTTTATTCTACTTTTATTTCAGTTACCATGGAAATCCTTAAAGAGTATAGTTGAGTACTACTACATGTGGAAGACCACAGACAGATATGTGCAGCAGGTAGGCCTTACATGGTGTGCTCTGGCAAGGATACTAGTGTTGCTGTGTGTCCAGCAGAGTCGCAGTATTGTTGTGTTGAAAGGTGTAGCTGATAACTCCTCTCTGAGGATGGCTGGTATTTTCATCTGTAGACTCATCATTGATGGGACCAGTATTCTTATCACTTGATGTTTAAATAATCATCTTCATCATGTTGTGTTGTTTGTGTCCCTGAAGTCTGGAAAAAGAGGCAGAAATACATATTTTTAGAAATGAAATTTGTTAACAGCAGTTTATTCAGTTGCAATCCCTGTGTGTGTTAGGCTAGGATCCTTTTGTGTGGTGAAAGGGGGGGGGGCCATGTTGTAAGAGTAAACTAATTAAGGATTTCCTGCAAGTCTAAGTGATTGGGATAACCAACAGTCGGCATACAAATGAGCCACATCTGTAAGGTGGGTGTGCACACATAACTTAAGTTCTGGAACAAAGCTGTTGTTATTTGACTTGTTTGCAGTAAAGCTAAAACCTTGACTACTGTCTTTATTTGATATCTGTATGGTAATATTTTGTTTTGTCTTTACAGAAACGAATCAAGGCCTCTGAAGCAGAGAGCAAATTAAAACAAGTGTACATTCCCAACTAGTAAGTGCTCGGCTTCGACAGTTTTCTTGGTGCATGATCTAATGTTAGTATCCTGTATTCTGTCACGTGCATGTTCGCTTGATACACAGCACACTTGCCAAGTATCTAGGTATGCTCAGTAGTGTTACAGTTACAAGTAACCACTTTTGCCCAACAGCAATAGAGGACGCCGGATACATGTTAAACGTCAAAGTAAATTCAATGTATTTAAACATCAGGACAATGAAAGACATCACGAGACATGATTTTCTATACTGCCACAGTCATTCTCACTAGCAAGGCAACACACACTAAGGACGCTCTGGACGACTTCTACTACCACCCTGTGTTCCGTGGCTGCTACGGGCAAACATTACCTGCTCGCGCAAATCCACTACTCGTGATTACGCGACTGTCTCTATGACACTCATCACTTTAGTACACTGTCACTAGAATGATCATACAGGCCAATGCACAATACCTTGTGAAGATTATCCAGACCTTCCGTCTGCGGCCTGACACCTACTTGAGATCTCCTGATCTCACCTCACGAGCTACCGTCACGCTGGCCCGGCCACTGCGGCATCTCTCGCCGATAGCCTGGACACCTAACGCCAGCGTAACATGCGGGTGTGCAGGACTAGTCTGGCAACACCCAGACTAGAACCTACATCACCGCATCCTTCCTCTCTGGGGACTTGGAGCCAACCGTTTTTCTCTCTCTTCACATTGCGTTCAATGTGTGCTGCACCGCACCAAGTGTTTACGTTCAGTAATGAACTTCCCTTTCATATACCCATATATTGCACACAACATACTCCCTGTGGTGGTTTGGGCAAACCCACTGCCACCTTCTCCCAAGAAACGTAAAAGGTGACTTAATAGAAGTTTGCTGAAATGGAATGAATTAGACCAAAAGGTGCACATATAACAGCCTTGATGTCAACATCAACACGACATACCAGCTACCCTTTTAAGTGATCTTTAGTGAAACAGATCACAGATCCTTTTCAGGATGTCGTAGGACCCTTCCCCAGCTGTTAATGGTTTTACCATGCAGTTTGTGACCTGTTTGATGTTCACAATCATCTGAAAGAGGCAGTCATCATTTTGTAGGTCAGTTGTGAGAAGAGAGAGTCTGGAACATGTGACCACTAGAAAGATCTGTGGAAAAACAGAGGGGAAGATGCGAGGCGATTTCTAATAGCCTTTTGTCATGGCATAGAAGGGTGTCAGGACATGAACTGATACACGATGTTGAAGATTGCAGATAGTGGAGAGCCATGATCACCCATGCCATTTGGCAGGGCACTAGAAGATGAGTAGGGTGATGTTGCTTTCTGAACGGTTCAGAACTCATGCTGTTGTTGGAATCCACGCAAATAGTGCCAGTTTGCCTGCAGATGTCAGAATTATGAAGGTGTTGACGTGAGGGGCAGGGGGTTGATGGGCTAGTCACTCAGCTGCTGGCCCGAATATCTTCAGTTCAAATCTACAAATTGGATTTGTATATGAGCTGGACCATGTATATATGGTTGCCTGTTTCTCATACTAATCATTCGACTCTGACAGGACTAGAACACATAACCACCAATACCAACCCATCATTGGGATGATAGCAAAGGTTGGTAACGTGATACACATAATCCCGGCTAAAGGCCACGCTAGAATCCAGCAAGACGGCAACGATGAGAAATGACTGAATGGCCTCCCGCCCCCTTTCTACTCGCCCCTCCCTACCTCTTTCGGATGCACTACGAGTTCAACCCCCACCCCATTCCCACAGAGAGCACGTGAGTTCGTTTCCCTTGGGATGATAGCAAAGTGTTGGTAACGTGATACACATAATCCCGGCTAAAGGCCACGCTAGAATCCAGCAAGACGGCAACGATGAGTTCGTTTCCCTACATGCCACAGCAATTATCCTCGCCGAACATTTGGATCTCACAGCGTGAGCTGAATGCTCTGGTTATTTGGTATTTACGCATACCAGAGCCTAGCTGCCAACCCAAACAGACACAGCCGGGACCACACACTAACAAATGATGATTAGATCAGCTTTAAGACTCCACACAACATTTTACACACATATCCACCGGACATGACTAACCCGTTCTTATTTCAGGAAGACAACTATAAGACCACTATGGTCACACGCGAAATAATTTCACATTTCGGAACTATCCAAAATCAAAAACTGTTTTCAGTGCATTTTGGCAAAATAAAATACTCAAAATTTTAAAACTGTAAATGGTGGTCCAAAGGACATTGTGTGAAAAGCGCGCCCCCTACGAAATACGCCTGACCAAATCAAAGGGAAACAACGCAAACTGGAAACATTAAGAAAGACGAGGGAAGACATGCGCAAGTAACAATAGGGTGGAGGATGGAAGCATCAAGCCCAGAAATGGCACAAACACTAGAATTCAGCCACGAAAATGACGCAAATAACCCAGACCACAAATATAGGCGGAGACTGCTAGCAGCCTCAGCTAGCTAGCAGCAGTCAGAACGTGGTCGAGCTTTTCTGTTTTTTTTCTCTCAAAAGGACTAGGACTAATTTGTATGTTTGTAAGTTTCTGTGTGTGTACAAGATGTACAGATTTTCTTAAAAACCATAAATCGATGTCAAATGTTATATTAATAAATTTATGGGTGTTGATTGATTGGTGCCATTAGAACAGATTGTTCCCTGTCTGGGTTCTGGATCCATATTTGGGGTGGGGTGTGTCAATAGACCTGCTGTCTCTCTGGGGTGTGTCAATAGACCTGCTGTCTCTCTGGGGTATGTCAATAGACCTGCTGTCTGTCGGGGGTGTGTCAATAGACCTGCTGTCTCTCTGGGGTGTGTCAATAGACCTGCTGTCTCTCTGGGGTGTGTCAATAGACCTGCTGTCTGTCGGGGGTGTGTCAATAGACCTGCTGTCTGTCGGGGGTGTGTCAATAGACCTGCTGTCTATCTGGGGTGGGAAGAGATGATAGGACCCCCCCCCCCCCCCCCTAACAAGCACGTTGTAAAATGGCGACTAATAAGAGTTTACTGAAGTCAGGTGTGTTGGATAGAAAAGTGCAGATATCACTGCCTCGCTGTAAACCACAACTCAAGTGTGCCAACTGCAATTTAGGGCAGACACGGAAGAGGAAGTCAAATAAATACAAGAGTACATCTTGGAATACATGATAGACATAAGGAAGTAAGAAAATGTGGAAAGAAATCCAAAAAACAAAAAATTACTTTCAATTTCATCATAAGTGAGAACATTATAGAATCATGGAAAGAACAAGTAATCATTCAGCCCTAAACAACTCACAGTACAGTCGGTGGTTGCTCTGTATATGGTCCCATAACTGCCTATAGATATACTGATCTTATTGAGCGTAATAGTCCTTCAGTGTTTAGCCTTTTCTGTGTCAGTCAAAGTGATTCATGGTTGCTGTTTATGCACTCATTTAGCAACAAGCCAAACCAGGCAGCCATTACCAGCAAGATGAACGGAACTGAAGGGGCAATCTCAGGCAGAGCTTGTGAGAGCTGCTACGGTAAGTATCTTCTCTGCTCCTCCTCTTCATCTTCTTCTTCACTTCCTTTTTTACCGCTGTGGGTGTCGAGGGAGATATAAGGTTCTGTTTCTAGCTCTTCTGGCTGCCTCGACCATAGGCACATCGTGCTGTTGTAGAGTTTCTCTGATGTTATCCTTCCATCTTGTTCTTGGTCTACCCTGTGCTCTACATCCTTCTTCTCTTTCCATGTATGCTTTGTATGGTATGCTCCTCTGATGACATCATTTAGTTTTTGCACATCATTTTGTTGTATCAGTTGATGGTTACAGTAAAACCATAGTAACACAACTTACTTAGTCGATCCTTTTCTACCTTGTCTGTAGAGTTTTGCCAGAAATATTGCTAAACTACACTATCAGCAGTTTTCTTTTGGGCTTTGTTCCATTCCAGTCCTCTGTCAGTCACAGACTTTTGGATGTTATCTTCCCTGCAAACACTGGGTCTCCCTTGTAGTCTGGTTCCCTGGTTCTTGCCTGCTATGGTGGTAACATGAATTTCAGGTGACACCCCCCCCCCCCCCCCCCTTTCCAAATCAAGAGTTCATCTGTTAACTGCACACTTGTAATGATCATACATTCCTGATGGGACCCGCATTTTTTCATGTTAACTAAAATGTTCTTCTTAAGTAAGTTTGTGTTAATGAGATTTTGCTGTATTTGCACCAGATCTCTTGTATTGCCAGCAGCTCACCTTAAGTTCCTTGGTCATTACAATGATAATTTGAAGATCTGTCACGGATAGATGAACCCTTTAAATGAACTATTAAGTGTAGCATCGTATCTCGGAAGCTGAAATATTTTGGACCTAGCAGAAGGCATGTTGCCAAGAAGAAGGGGCCTTGATTGACCACTTGAAGATGGGCACAAGATATCAGTGACTCCTTGGTTATAAAAATGTTTGAGGTGGGAGAGTTGGCGAGACACCGAGTTTCTTTCAGGCAAACAGTGATGAGAGCGAGATACTGCAAATTACTTGCTGCTTGAAGGTGACTTTTGTCCCATTTTGTCTATGGCTGCTGTAGAACTCTTTCACACCTGAGATATTTATTGCTTTTGAGCTCAACTTGTGATATAAGGAGCTAAAATAAAAACTGCTTTGTGTTGAAGCAGTTCAAATCAAGAGCTGACATATCTAACTTCTTTGAGTGTTCTCTATGCTTGCTGCTGAAGATGGAGATGGAGCACTTATGGAAATGACCTGAGTGCTGTGATATCAGTTCCTTGTTCAACATTCAACCTCTTTGGGTGTTTATTGATTGTGTTGGCCTTCCTGACAGTATCTGATAGGAAGATCTGATAGTTTCATATCTGTGTTGTATAATCTTATTAGGATGTCACATCTTTGTCTTACAGCTGAATAAGTGGCATACATCAGGACGGATAAATGTCTTTTTTTTATGGTTTTATTCGTCTTCTTTACATTCACCGGGTATATACTCAGGCAAAAAGTTGTTGTTCAATCATCCACCTCTGCTTGCAAATGTCCATGATGGCTGGATCATGTTATTGTTTGAATGCTGTACAAATGTTCATGATGACCGGATCATGTTATTGTTGAATGCTGTACACATGTTCATGATGACCGGATCATGTTATTGTTTGAATGCTGTACAAATGTCCACGATGACCGGATCATGTTATTGTTTGAATGCTGTACAAATGTTCATGATGACCGGATCATGTTATTGTTTGAATGCTGTACACATGTTCATGATGACCGGATCATGTTATTGTTTGAATGCTGTACACATGTTCATGATGACCGGATCATGTTATTGTTTGAATGCTGTACACATGTTCATGATGACCGGATCATGTTATTGTTGAATGCTGTACACATGTTCACGATGACTGGATCATGTTATTGTTTGAATGCCGTACAAATGTTCACAATGACTGGATCATGTTATTGTTTGAATGCTGTACACATGTTCATGATGACCGGATCATGTTATTGTTTGAATGCTGTACACATGTTCACAATGACCGGATCATGTTATTGTTTGAATGCTGTACAAATGTTCATGATAACTGGATCATGTTATTGTTTGAATGCTGTACAAATGTTCATGATGACTGGATCATGTTATTGTTTGAATGCTGTACAAATGTTCATGATGACTGGATCATGTTATTGTTTGAATGCTGTACAAATGTTCACAATGACTGAATCATGTTATTGTTTGAATGCTGTACAAATGTCCACAATGACTGGATCATGTTATTGTTTGAATGCTGTACAAATGTTCATGATGACTGGATCATGTTGTTGTTTGAATGCTGTACAAATGTCCACAATGACTGGATCATGTTATTCTTTGAATGCTGTACAAATGTCCACAATGACTGGATCATGTTATTGTTTGAATGCTGTACAAATGTCCATGATGACTGGATCATGTTATTGTTTGAATGCTGTACAAATGTCCATGATGACCGGATCATGTTATTGTTTGAATGCTGTACAAATGTCCACAATGACTGGATCATGTTATTGTTTGAATGCTGTACAAATGTCCATGATGACTGAATCATGTTATTGTTTGAATGCTGTACAAATGTCCACGATGACCGGATCATGTTATTGTTTGAATGCTGTACAAATGTCCACAATGACTGGATCATGTTATTGTTTGAATGCTGTACAAATGTCCATGATGACTGAATCATGTTATTGTTTGAATGCTGTACAAATGTCCACGATGACCGGATCATGTTATTGTTTGAATGCTGTACAAATGTCCATGATGACTGAATCATGTTATTGTTTGAATGCTGTACAAATGTCCACGATGACCGGATCATGTTATTGTTTGAATGCTGTACAAATGTTCATGATGACCGGATCATGTTATTGTTTGAATGCTGTACAAATGTTCATGATGACTGGATCATGTTATTGTTTGAATGCTGTACAAATGTTCATGATGACTGGATCATGTTATTGTTTGAATGCTGTACAAATGTTCATGATGACCGGATCATGTTATTGTTTGAATGCTTTACAAGTTATCTGCTGCTGTTGTCTCCAGCTTCCCACTCGTCACAGTGGTACTCCTGGGGGCCAGTTCACCTTCAGTGCCGACTGTGTAGCAGTTGTTGGACTTACTGGAAGAAGTATGGAGGACTGAAGATGCCCACACGACTAGGTTAGTCATGTTTGTTGTGGTGCTTCTGTCTCAGTGTGCCTCTATGTCGAGGTTAGTCGTTACAGTGATATGTATGTTAGCAAGAGAACAATTATAACATACCATATATTTTAAGACTGTTTTGACATTAAATTAGAGTATATTTATAAAATGGCAGACCAGACTTTTTTGTTTGTTTATGGTCTTGGCTTCCAGGTCGACCCAGGCTTAAATGGGTACCACATGAAGGCGTGGGAGGTATTAAATGGGTACCAGATGAAGGCGTGGGAGGTAAAGGTGGCTGGCATGATGTTGGCCATATTACCCACCAAATGCTCCTAAGGGGACAATCAGGGTGTAATATGGCTATCAAGAAGTCAAGGATTGTTTTTATTTTAAGTGTTCGACTAGTTGTAAACTCTTGTGGAAGGTTTGGTTGTTTGTCCACTTTGCTTTTGTTCCAGAACTTATAGTTTAAGTGCATGTTCATTTTACTGGCGTGGATTATTTGTATGCAGACTGTTGATTCCTCACCTCTCAGGCAGATGCACTCTGACTTCCATAAAAAATCCCTCATTAGTTGCCTGCTGTGACATGCATGTTAAGAAGGCAATGGTTATGTTCTTGTTTTCCGTATAATGGGACCCCTGGAACTCACGCAGGAAAGTCAAAGATTGAATCATGTATGTTTTTTTTTTGTGGTTTTGTTTTAAAAAATCTCCTTCTTAGTCGCCTTTTTTGGACTAAAGGTGCCGTTCATAGCTGGATCTGATCTGCTCATGATTTGTAATTCAAAATGCTCAGCTAGATTCAGTCAAAGGCAGCAGACCACTTTGCGGTCTGATGTCTACAATGGTATAGAGAGCTCCATTCATTCAGAAGTAATGCCAGACTGAGACTTAATTCTGCTCTTTAACAATCTGTACATGATTCTGTTGATACTGCATTTATGTACCTGTGCTGCTTGAGACAGGATGTTTCTGGATGTTGTTGTTGTATGACCAAGCCATCCGACACCCTGTGTCAATAGTAGCTAGCATGGACTCTGTGCCACTGGTTAAATAATCATAGAAATCATCATTAAATGTCTTACAGATGGTGAGAGGCCAGCTCCGAATGCAAGACAAGGTATGTGAATGTTGTAACGGATGTGTGACTGTAACTTTATCTACAGTATGGCCATCAGTTTGTGTCAATTGTCACCAAAAATGTGGAAAGGTTATCATAAACTAGTCGTTGCAGTGCTAATGTCAGTGCACAGAGTGAAGGGCCCTTTTCAATGCCTTCCGTTGTGTTGGGCATATCGGGCTAGACCTACATTTCATAGACCAGTCGGCACTCAGTGGGTGATGTAGTCAGCATCACACCGGCCAGTCTTACTTCCCAGGACTTTACCTGGTACCCATTTAAGACTGGGTCGACCTGGGTCCCAAAGTCATTTTGAAGAAGAAGAAAAGGATCATCGAGGAAGAGTCCAGCCATTGCAGGTGATTAAAAGAGTTCAAATCCATCCCCGTGTGGGTTTTGATGTTCTTTTTTTTTTTTGGAGAACAGAGAATAAACCCACTGCTCCCCCCCTCTCCAACAGTCTGCACACAAATAAGCCAGATCTGTAAAACTGATGTGCATGCAAGACTCAAGTTTTTGGATCAGTGCCAGAGTCCAGGAGTGGAAGAACAGATAGAACTTTCTGTTGGGTTTACAGTTGGTAAACACTAAGTAGAAGTGATAGACCCACAGTGAAACCTAAAGAGCGGTGTTGTTGTTATTAGTTGATGACTCTTCCATACAGCTTTCAAGTTTGTTCTGTTTTATTTGTATCAGTATCTGCTCTTTGCCACAAACAATCACATTTAACAGATGATGCATAACTGAGCAGGGGGTGCTCGATTGCTTGGTATACTGAGATGTTGTGAAGTCTTATTGACTCCTTTAGTCCATCCTCTTTCTTGTTCTGCCTCTTGGTGTTTTTATCTTGAGGTTCTGTGCTGCCCAGATTAGGTCAGTCATTGTTTCTAAATATATTGTCCAGTTGTTCTCCTAATGTCTCATTTCTCACAACTTTCTCACTAAAGTCTAGGCTGTCAGCCAACGCAGACAATAGTTGTTTAGCTTTTGTTTGATGGATGCTTTTTACAGAATTGGGTCAAAGTAAGTGACTCTCTTCACACCTTCAGCCCTATTGGGCATATAGGGCTAGACTTACATTTTATAGATCGCTTGGTGGGTGATGGGGTCAGCAGCACACTGCCGCCTTTACTTCCCAGGACTTGTACTTCATACCCACTCAAGGCTGAGTTGACTGGGAGCCAAGGTCATTTTAAAGAAGAAAATTTCTGTGGCTTCCTTGGGACCCGAACCCAAGACCTTCTGATCTGCAAGCGAGTGCCTAGCTGCTACACCACGGCAACTTCCACAGAATTGGGTAGCCAGTATTAAAACCAACACTTTAAAAAATGGGGAAGAGAGAAAATAGAAAGTGATAAGTAAAGTGTATGTAAGCTCACAAATCAAGTTACAGTAAACAAAACAGAACGTTGTGGTGATTAACAACAAGAAACAGAGGTGCAAGGTAACTAGACAAGACCAAAGGATGAGCTGCAGTAAAGAGGAGATAATAGCCTAAACTGAAACAAGAAAACTGCAGTCAAATTGTTTTAATTAAAATAATAAACTTTTTAATTTAAAGATTTTTATAGCTTTAGTGCAGTCGCCTCATTTCAGTACAAACGCTACATTTAGTGCCTCTTATGACATGCTTGATTGTGTCCAGGGTTTCTGTTCTGTGCTTCCTCTAAGGGCTGCGGTAACAACTGAAAGTCATTGGACCAATTTGAGTCTGTGTCTGTTCATTGTGCGGATTTGTTCAGAAACAACACAGGTTACTCTAAAAATATCTTATGTATGTTTATTGTAACACTAGTAATTCATTTGTGTATGTAATGTCATTGGGTGATATTCTGTCTCTGAAATGAAAACCTTGAGCATTAACTTTGTCATTTCAGAGCGAATAGCTCAGATGAACTCTGTCCGCATGCAGAAGTGTTCAGTACCTGGGTGTGGCAAGGTGAGTGAATGGGAAATTCTGTCCTTTGGTAACTGCACATAGTATGGTAGCTAATTCAAGTTGTGGGAAGGTAAGGCAGACAGGCTACCGTGTCTGCCTTAGCCCGAGAGGGGATAGTTTTCAAATCTCAGCTAGGTGTGGGTATTTTTTTATAAAACTGTTGAAATTACACTTTTGTCTGATCTTCGAGATAAGCGGTTCTAAACCTGTGGGTCGCGATGATCTTGGGCGACCCTTGTAAAATGGTTGAAAGACCATTTCACAGGGGTCATCTAAGACGATCGAAAAACAAATTCACTGAAGTTATGAAGTAGCAACGAAAATAATTATATGATTGGGAATCACAACAACATGAGGACTGTATTACAGGGTCACAGCGTTAGGAAGTTTGAGAACCATTGTCCAAGATAATCTGATCAAATGCAGAGTTTTCTCAGATAAGTATGTCCCATGTTCACATTCAACAAAAATCCTATCTCGCTTGGAAAGAGTAGGCCACAAGGCAGGATTGTTAAAAAGAAACTTTCTTATGAAGTCGATGGATTCTGCTCATTAGATGGAATATGTTAGAGCCTTTCCAGAGATTGGTTTTATAAAATGTACCCAATGTAAACACAAACAATCCATTGCACAATTTATTGCCTTGCAAATTTCACTATATCCCATCAGGTGCATCACTAGAGAGTTTTACAGCAACAAATAATAAAGTTCAGAAGTTAACTCTTTCCACTGAAATACAAAAATGATGATGTAATATCTTGTCACACTCCATATCTTGCCCCCACTTCTTTCTTCTTTGCGTACACCAGCTGTAAACTCTGGCGGAAAGTTCTGGTTGTGCATCTACTTCTGGATTGCAGTCCTGTTCTAGAACCTGAGTGTTGCATGTGCATCCATTTTACAGATCTGATTCATTTGTATGCAGACTATTGGTTCCTTGCCTTTCAGGCAGGTGCTCTCCGACTTTAAAGGAAGCTCCCAATTAGTTGACTCTTACAACATGCTTTTAGGTAGGCAGTGGGTCTACTCTTTTTTTTCCCTAAAATAGGGCCCCGAAACCCACACAGGGAAATCTCGTCCCTAGAAATTCAGGACGATCATATGGTTACCGCAGCAGTTTAACATTTATGACATACTCCTTTTGTTCGCATAGACGGGATTGTTCATTTTTAAATTGTCATTGCTTCTACCACTTCCTGTAATCGTCTGTTTGGGGTGGTAAATAGCATGGAAGGCACAGTCTCTAATGATTACGTGTTGAAGCCAACAGTGTCCATTTGAAGAATTGGGTTGTTCCATGAGTTCAAATAGTTGCAATAATAATAATAATAATAAACATATAATTTTTTCCCCTTGATGCTACTAGGAGTTCAAACTGAAGGCACATCTTGCCAGACATTTAGCGACTGCACACGGGCTCACAGTAGCTCCGGGAAGTCCCCGCCCTGTCATGAAGACTCGAGCCGCCTTCTGCCTTGTCACTACAGAGTTAACCCGGATTTCCCGGAGATTGTGTCGGGACATCTTGCGTCCCCGGCACGCTGCTAGGTGTCCGTTTGCTCCCATCAACACATCTTTAATCAAGCAAGAGTGTAAGTATTCGGTGCCAGTTTGGTTGTCATCTTGCCTTGTGAGTTGAAAAATGTGGGTTCGGTTTTAGAGATATTTGGTGATCATTATTAGGGCTGTGAAGTTTATGCTTTGCTCAAATTAAAAAAACAGAATCGGAAATTTACATGGTTAAAAAGCACATCTGATTTCATGCGGCGACTGGGTGACGAACTCCTTGTGGTCTGGGTTCACTCCAGGGGGTAGGCTGAAAAGCCACATTTCTCCCAGATTAACGGTACCAATAATGGAATCAAGGCCGAATGGTTGCGATATCCATAGTACCAAGCCAAAGGGTTTACAACTCATGGTTTCTGGAAACGTAAAAGATTGTTTAAAAAAAAAAATGATTTCATGCACAATTATGATAAATGGTGTTTTGGATTTGGTTTTACTGAATTGCATGCCAAAGTATAGAATTGTTTGTGGGTGTATCTTAATAGCTTGCCAAACTCTGGAAAATGTTTTTAAAAAAAATCTAAACTATTTAGACACTTTGATCCATGTATGTTATGGCTATTCAACTAAGTTTACTGATTGGCCAAAATGTTGGAAATGAGGATCGTCACGAGCCAAAGGCAGAGTCTCAGGATAGAAAGATCATTAATTCAGTACAACTGGCAATGAATCGCGGGCCATTTGCTAGGCCTATATAAGCTGGATATGGCCCGTGGCCGCCAGTTGTATATCACTGATGTAGATTTACATAGAGCTGGTAGCAGATTTTTTTAGAAAGATATTATCTTCATCAATCAAGTGATGATTTTTGATAAAAATAGTCACTCACAACCGTTCAGAAAGATGTTATCTTCATGAATCAGGTGATGATTGTTGATAATAATGGTCACTCACAACCGTTCAGAAAGATGTTATTTTCATGAATCAGGAGATGATTGTTGATAATAATGGTCACTCACAACCGTTCAGAAAGATATCTTCATGAATCAGGTGATGATTGTTGATAATAATGGTCACTCACAACCGTTCAGAAAGATGTTATCTTCATGAATCAGGTGATGATTGTTGATAATAATGGTCACTCACAACCGTTCAGAAAGATGTTATCTTCATGAATCAGGAGATGATTGTTGATAATAATGGTCACTCACAACCGTTCAGAAAGATATCTTCATTAATCAGGTGATGATTGTTGATAATAATGGTCACTCACAACCGTTCAGAAAGATGTTATCTTCATGAATCAGGTGATGATTGTTGATAATAATGGTCACTCACAACCGTTCAGAAAGATGTTATCTTCATGAATCAGGAGATGATTGTTGATAATAATGGTCACTCACAACAGTTCAGAAAGATATCTTCATTAATCAGGTGATGATTGTTGATAATAATGGTCACTCACAACCGTTCAGAAAGATGTTATCTTCATGAATCAGGAGATGATTGTTGATAATAATGGTCACTCACAACCGTTCAGAAAGATGTTATTTTCATGAATCAGGAGATGATTGTGGATAATAAAAGTCACTGACAACTGTTCAGAAAGGAAAACCAGTAAGCCTGGAAATTAGTTAACAGAGAAAGGCTGCAAGGTTGACCAGAAGAGGCGAATCAAGAATAGGTTCAGAAGAGGCAGAGTTGCTGGGAACCTGTACTCAAATACATACAAAATCAAGCAACTATAAATGGCTTGACACTTGGGGGAAAAAAATAACTTATGGTATCATGTTGGGGCATAAAAAAGACATTTAATGGGTGACATACTGTTACCTCGTCATAATTGTAAGGCTACAGGAAAATTATGACCTCAAAACGGTATTTAAAAGGCCTTTTTTTTTCAAACAATACCCTCATCACCAAAGTGCTATTTTTAGTAAATATGTTCATATCCTGGCCGCACAAACACTGCACAGACACAAATACTGGGTATTCCATACATTTCATAAAAATATAAAATAAACCTTAATTTTAATGAAAAGCAATTTTATCTTAAAAATATGCCTTACATGACTACCATTGTTTTGAAAACAAACTTTGATATTTGTCCGCCACTGCCGACGATCAGGAATAAGCACAGGTGGAGTTATGCTGCTAATGGTGTTGGTGATTTGTTTATTTTTCCTTTGTATGGAAACTGTTAAGGCCCTAAAGAAGTTAACTATGTCTCTCCTCAACAGGCTGTAGTAGAAATGCTGGGTAAGTTACATTTACTTGGAGGAGTCTCAGATGGAAATGCCAGCTTTGCGGCTTCTCAAAACGGCAGGGTTAAAATTCATAACCAAAAAAAAAAAAAAACAGTTATAACAGACAAATCTGCTTACTGAAAAAGTCTACAGACTCTGAGAGCTGTAGGTGTTTATGTGGTCCCATCTTGTTTCAGGTCAGCTTCGTCTAGCAGATCGCAGCACTTCCTACCAGCCAAGCACCAACTCCAGGACCCCGACCACCCTGGATCCTGTTGTTGCCAGATTGGGTATAGACACTAAGCAAGAGAAGCCATCACTCCTAGCTAGGGGCCCTAACTACGGCAGGGGAGGAGACTACTCTGCATCAAAGGGTAAGCTGTACAGCAGGTTATTTCCTCTTGTTTCATCTTCTGCCTGCATCTTTCCTTTTATTTAATTTGTTTGTAAGTTGATTTTTTCCTGTCACATTTTTTTTTCTTTCAGCAGTGTAGTGTTGTATAATAATGTTTAAATGTTTAACTAAGTCTTATAATATTGAAGGAGGCTAATAGTGACACTATATTCTGTAGTACTGTAGAATTAGAATATTGACATGTCTTACAGTAATTTAGAAGGCTTAATATATTGACTTATACCCTGTAGTCTTCTTCTTCTTCGCGTTCACCAGCTGTAAACTCTGGCAGAAAGTTCTGGTTGTGGTTGTTCATCCACTTCTGGACTGCAGTCCTGTTCCAGAACCTGAGTGGTGCGTGTGCATCCATTTGACAAATCTGACTCATTTGTATGCAGACTGCTGGTTGCTTGCCTGTTGGGCGGATGCTCTGTGACTCTGAAGGAAGCTTCCTATTAGTCAACTCTTACGGCAGTGGGTCTATTCTTGTTGTCCCTATAACAGGGCCCCGGAACCTACATAGGGAATGCCTTGTAGTAATCTAGAAAGTTTAAAATGTTGACTGATGTAGTAATGTAGAATGTTTAAAATATTAACTCAGGTCCTGTAGTAATGTAGAATGTTTAAAATATTAACTCATGTCCTGTAGTAATGTAGAATGTTTAAAATATTAACTCATGTCCTGTCTTAATGTAGAATGTTTAAAATATTAACTCATGTCCTGTAGTAATGTAGAATGTTTAAAATATTAACTCATGTCCTGTAGTAATGTAGAATGTTTAAAATATTAACTCATGTCCTGTCTTAATGTACAAGGTTTAAAATATTAACTCATGTCCTGTAGTAATGTAGAA